GTATACGTACGCGAGCCGCCCTTGTCTCGTTGCGAAAAGCGATTGCGAGTTTTCGCCGGATTGATTTGAGAGCGCCATTCGCCATTGGCTGTGTCGCAACGGAAGCACCGCGATGGACGTCCGTCGGACGGCCCGGCAGAGTCCGTTTTCGTCGCTCTGTCTCTGTCGCACTCACGGGGCTCTCCGTACAGGTGCGAGAGAGACAGAGCGACGACTCGCGGAATCGGTGTGCAGCAGGCCCACTGCGAACATAGCGCTTTTTCGTCGCTCCGCCTCTGTCGCACTGGTCGGGGTGTTCTGCTGCGGTGAGAGGGACGGCGCCCAGTCGCCAGGTATTCGGAATGGACAGGAAATGGCCCTGGCCTTTCCATTCGCGGGGTAACGTTTCGTGGTGCAGTTTTCAGCGCGCCCGATTCGGGCCTGGGCTGCGGGACTGTCTGGGACTTCCGTATGGAAAATCGGCCGTCCTTTCCGAACCTCGTAAACAACCACACTTTCTATTCGTGAAGGGTGTTTGCTAGGATGGCACTGCCACTGCCTGGAGCTGGACACACATCGAAACTAAATTTCCCAAAGCCATAATAAGGGGGTGGACGCCGGAACGCAAGGCCATCAGTCAAGACTGTGAAATGTTGCCAATTTGGTCTCATGCCCATTTTCGACACTAGGCAGCTAGAAAATCCAATGGCATTTGCTTGCCACAAAACTGGCCAGCCGTTTTAGCGACTCTGGAGCTCTGCACGCGTCTAGAGTTTTGGCCGCCTCCACCGGTCCTCTGGCCCACTGTGCGTCCAGTCTCGCCAGCACGTGCTGCTTGTGCTGCCGGGCGATCCGCTAACAAGGTCCGGCCCGGCCGTCCTCGCTGACACAATGTAGCAGCAAAGTAACACAGCGGGCGGCGGGTAATCCCGGCGCTAGGGCACTGCTAGAGCAGCCTCAGCCCATTCCTCCTGTTGCAACAGATGAGCAATCCGCTGCCCTCCCTCTCTCCGTCTCACACCCTCCACGCCCCGGACGACGCTCTGTCTCTCTCGCACCTGCACGGCGCGCCCCGTGAGTGCGAGAGAGACAGAGCGGCGAAAACGCCTCTCGGAATCGGCCTACTACTGGAGGGCCCGAAGGCACAATGGCCTCTCGTTTGGCGGCCGGGCTTCCCTCCATACAGCTTTCCTCGTCGGGGTCGTCGCCCTGTCACTCACCCCGACCATTGACACCTTGCCTGACGACACGGTGGCGCGCCAGACCGATTCCGAGAGTCTCGCTCTGTCTCTCTCGCACCTGCACGGGACGCCCCATGAGTGCGAGAGACACAGAGCGACGAACACGACTCTCGGACTCACCATGCCACTACACCGCATTCCAGGCGCCCTCCCTCCCCAAATTAAGGAGCAGGTGATTATTTTGTCGAGCCTAAAGGCTAAGGCTGGCCTAAGGCTGGCCAGAGGCAGCCCCCGCTGGCACCGTCTTTTTTCAAGGGAGATTTTCCCGCTGCCCGCGCGGGTGCCGCTCGGACGGGACCACCCCGGCCAGAGCGATGTCTCTACTTAGCTCGGGGAGAGGATTAAAAGCACCAGCTTAATGAGCCTGGTGGTGGCCGAGTCAAGCACGAGCCGGGAACAATTTACAGTGGCTACTTCCTGTTCCAGCCGCACTGACCGGAAGTGGCGGTATAAAAACACCGCCGCGAGGTGCCAACGTGAAACAAGCATATACTGTACAGCAGTGTGCTTATCGCAAGGGTGCACTGTGGACCCCGACGGACAAATCTCTAGAGGCGTTTTTAGCTCCAGAGTCGCTAAACAGGACTAGAACCGAACGTGTGACCCCACCAATGGATTGCTCTCCGAACGAGGGATCCATTGGTGGGGTCACACGCTCGGTTCGAGTCCTGCTTAGCGACTCTGGAGCTCAAAACGCGTCTAGAGTTTTGTCCGCCTCCACCGGTCTTCTGGCCCACTGTGGGCCACTGCAGGCCGTCCAGGCCGGCCAGGCCGCGCAGTGACGGGGAGGCGTGGCGCGGCGCGGCGCGGCGTGAGGAGGGAAGAACCAACAAGAGAAATGGGTGGCAATGAAAGAAGACCCAGGGCTGCCCGATGACGGACGGCCCGTCAGGCGACCAGCTTCTCCGTCTTCTTCCCCTTCTCCGCCTCCCCATTTTTCTGGCCGCCCGCCCCGCGCCACGCCGCCACGCCGCCGCGCCCCTGACCTAGAGTACGTCCGCGGCTCGGGGCGGGGCGGGGCGGGGCGGGGCGGGGCGGGGCGCCCCTGCGTGCTCAATCCCTGCGGTATCTCCTGGAGAGACAGACAGGGTGTGTTCACAGGGTAAGCGGCTCGGCTCGGCGGCCGCGCCACTCAAGCAGGCACCCTGTCTGCTGTGGCGCGGCGGGGCGGGGCGTGGCGGGGCGTGGCGGGGCGGGGCGGGGTGGCGCATCCACCGCGCCCTTCAGAATAAAGAATGGCGGCCGGAGCATGGCGCCAGCGATACCGAAGGACAAGGACTGACAGGACCAACAGGACGGGCGGCCTCGCGCGTTACAAGGAACTTTTTCACGCGTCCCCACAGACACAGAGGCGAAAATACTGTGCTTTTACTCATCGAAGAATTGTTATGGTGCAGGCTCCCGCCTTTATTGAAAAACGCAATGTTTAGTTTTTCGAACTGAGCCGACTCATTTGTATGGATTTCTAACTTACATATTGAGAAGTCCAGTTCACAGGAAACAGGAATCTACTGGTCAACTTGATGCAGTGATTCGGCTGCACCAAAAAAGTGGCTTCTTGAACCAAAGATAATTTTCATGCTACATGTCCCAGGTGTTCCTGGGAAAAGCCAGAAACCGTTTTTGTCGTGCAATTTTTCTCGCTGCGCTCACGACAAACCGCGTCTAACACACCTTCCTGAACCAAGCTCGCAGTGGTCCAGACGACGGCCTTGCGCTGTGTCATAACCCCGCAGCTTCTGCTCTCGCTTCTGCCTCGTAATACCGCCGCGCCACCCAAATGGCCCCCCATTTTATTTCTGGCAGTGTGGGCACGCCGGGCACGCCCAGGTAATGATCCGATCCGTTTGCGCCCCGTCATGCCGGCGCGCCGACGCGTTTGCGCGCGCCGACGCCGCTCTTCACTTGTTATTATTTTCCTTTGTGCTCCGACATGTTGGCACCACTGGGCCGAGCGCGCCGCCGTGGCCGCCGTGGCCGCCATGTTGGCAGCGCGGGCCGGCGCGGCGCGGCGCGACGGGTACTAATGGTGCTTGGGATGACTCGGCACGGCGTATTAATTGCCCCACGGACAGCTCGTCTGTCGGCAGCACTCACTCTCACGGGGAGGGGAGGGGGAGGCCAGAGAGGCCTCCGGCGAAGGGAGCGGAGGGGAGGGGGAATTGGCTGTGAGGTATCACAGACCATGAGCGTGGTTTATGATGCATTTACTAGTCGGTTTATCACACTGGGCCGGCGCGGTCGTCGCGGCTAGTGCTGCCGACGGCGCTCGGCCACAGTGGGCCAGACGACCGCGGCGCCGGCGGTCAAAACTCTATACGCGTTTTAAGCTCCAGAGTCGCTAAGTAGGGCTCGAACCGAGCGTGTGACCCCACCAATGGATTCCTCTTTCGAAGAGCAATCCATTGGTGTGGTCGCACGTTCGGTTCCAGTCCCATTTAGCGACTCTGGAGCTCAAAACGCATTCGGGATTTTGACCGCCACCGCCGCCGGTCTTCCGGCCCACTGTGCGGCGGCGCCGCGGAAAATTAGGTGTCCAGGAATTCCCCGCTGACGTCGGAATTTTTATAAATTTTTTTCAAAAACTAGCGCGGTTTCCACACCTACATCACGCCGACAATGATTGCCGCGGCGCGGGAAAAGAGTGTCGGAATCGCCAAACAGGTCGTCCATTCTGCGGCGGTAATTGCAGTGTAGTGCACGTCGGAATTTGGAATTCCACGCGGAAGATGGAGTCATCAAGCCGGGTGCACTGTGTGTGTATTAATACACGCGTTGTGGCATATTTATCGTGCTGCCCCATTAAAACGAGGCGCATCCGGCACGCCGCTCTCTACAGTGTGAACATGCCTGGGTGCGTGTGAGGCTAATGCGAGTGCAGGCAGTGGCAGCGGTCGTAAAACTATTCCAACACCAACGGCTTTCAGCCTGAACTGCTTCAGCGGCCTACTGCCCAGCACACCGTGAAATGGCCCCACTTTTTGAACCCGTCTCCCAAGCGCCTTGGAAACGGCGCCGCCCCGGCAAAGCTCAATGAGAAAGGTTCAAGTTGGCGCGAAAGCTTTGGTGCTGACCGCTTGGACGGTTTGCCTGTCGCACGTGTCAGACGAGGCCAACATCCGTCTCACTTCGTTTTTGAGCCACCCGCAGGCGCAGGTTGAAACCTTGCCTCCTGCTTGATGACGAGTTCATTGTTTTGTGACTGACCCGCCTCTGTCCCAGATTCCACTGCCGATGAAACGACGAGCCATGACTAGATGGCCTTTGGGCAAGCTCAAGCTCAAATGTATACAGCTTCTCGTAACTGATACTGAATGTACACAGTGCCTTATTTTCGTAGATCAATTTTTTTTAACCAAAATCAACCATTTTTTCTTGCTACTTTGGAAAAAGCCACTCAAAGCCCGGTTTCAAACTTGTCATGAGTGGCCTTCACTTTATCTCCCCTCGTTTTATTTACTCCCTGTGTCCGACAGACACCCTTTCCTGCTGACTCCTTTTGTCTGTGTGTTTTCCCGAACGCGTCGCGCGACCTCCGTCAACACCTTGCCCGTCCAGTTCCACGCCGCGGCCGACTCGGCGCTGGGCAGCGCTAGTCTAGGTAATAACTTTTAAGATCGTGATAACACAGGCCGGCTCGCCGCCACAGGGAATACATTATTGGCAGCCTGTGGTTATGCTCGTTTATGTTCGGCTATAGCCGCCTGCCCGGCCGCCTGCGAGCGGGATACAGGGGTATAATGTCTGCCAAGACATTTATTACAAAGAAACAGTCATAAATTCAGGGTAGAAACAACGTATACTTTTATTCAAGTATTGTATGTGGAAACAACATTATATGTACATGCACTCACATACGTGGCTATCTACCAAGAGGACAATCTCACTCTCTCCAATATTTACTTTTTTTCGTACAGTAGTCTTTTTGTTTCTCGATATCTGGTGAAAGACATTTTTCGGTCCTGATCATATCAATTCTTATAATATTTGTCTAGGCTAATATAACTTAGTTTTTGATAACAATCAATCAGGTTGGCGTTAATGACTTATCGCAGCATAGCAACAACAACAACAAGATGCGTTTCCCCTCATCGACCTACTGCACACACACACACATGACGGGCCAGCGGCTCGGCCATTGCTTTAGCACGTGAATTATCAAGAGCAGCATTTCGTTGCAAATGTACATCATAAAACAGGAATAAGTTAACATTAGTTTTTATTGCAGCCCTCGCGAGATAATTTACGAGTTGCAGCCGGCTTTCCCCCTCCCCACTCCTCTCACTCGAGTGTGTGGAAAAAATGGATATACGAGGGCCGGGCCGAGTCGAGCCGAGCCTCCGCGGCAGTATAACAGGGCCGAGCCGAGCCCGGCCGAGCCGCCGCGGCGGTGCCGAGAGGAGGGGGGAGCGAGTATAAATTACGGAGACATTGTAATTTATATCTGCTGTCAGGCGGACGCTCCCATTCCAAGCGGGAGATATAAATAATAATAAAACAGGCTATTAAAGGCGAAACCAACACTCAGAACACTCACTGGCACTTCAAGATGGCCGCCCTTACATTGAGCTATGCTAATTCGCGAAAAAACACATTCCAGATGAGGACGGGGCTGATGGTGGTGGCGGTGGCGGTCGAGGGGTGCTTGTGTCACTGAGGGCCTAACTAACACAGAAAAGTATCACAGGCGAGGTGGCCCCGGCGTCGCCCTGGCGCCACAGGGTGGGGCCTGGACGAGCGCTAGGTCTTGGGCCGTGGAGGGTAACTTTGGTTGTCCGGGCGGCTGAGGCCCTGGCTGAGGCCCTGGCTGAGGCCCTGGCCCCCCTCCCGTCAGGGGTGGACGGCGGCCCCCATGCGCTGGCCGTAGAGCGCGTACGGCGAGTAGTAGGGCGACAGCGGCACGGCCATGGGGTGCCCGGGCGACAGCCCCGGCGGGCTGAAGGCGGCGTAGGGCGAGGCAGCGGACGGTGGCAGCAGGCCGGTGGGCGAGCCGCCGGGGCCGGCGCCGGGCTTGGCGTAGGGGTGGTACCGCGAGTAGGCGGTGGGCGAGGGCAGGCCGCTGGGGCCGAGCGCGGGCAGGCCGGACGCCGTGCTGGTGGCGGTGGCGGGGCCGGTGTGCGAGCGCAGGTGCTGCAGCAGCTCGTCGGAGGACGCGAAGCGCTTGCCGCAGTACGACTCGCCCGCGATCCAGCTGCACACGTAGGGCCGGCCGGCGCCCTGCAGGGCCGCGGCGGCCGCGGCGGCAGCGCCCGGCGGGTACCCGGCCAGCGCGGACGACAGCGAGTACTTGTGGTGGTCGCACGTGGTGCAGCCGGGCGGGCAGGGCGCGCCCAGCGACAGCATCGTGTTGTGCATGCTGTACTGGCAGCCCTGGCAGAACGGGTCCTTGCAGATGGGCACGATGGTCTCCACGCCGGTGGCCGACTTGACGCGCTGGTACGAGAAGTAGGGGTTGTTGTGGTAGCCGGCGGCGAGCAGCGCGGCGGCGTGGTGCTGGCTGTAGGGCGAGGTGCCGGCGAAGGGCGGCCGGAAGGCGGGGTGGTGCGCCTCGTAGCCGGGCGGGCAGCACAGCTGCGCCAGCTGCGCGCTGGTCAGCCCGGCCAGCCCCGCCGCCTTGAAGGCGCCCAGGGCCTGCATGTCCTTGGAGTGGCCCTGCATCACCTCCAGGCCGGAGCGGATGAGCGGGCTGGCGCCGCGGCTGGCGCTGGGCGACGAGGCGGCGGCCTGCGACGTGGCGGTCTTGGTGGGCGGCGAGGAGGTCCGCGGCGACGTGGACTTCCTGGCGGCCTGCGCGCTGCCCGACGACTTGCTGCTCCGGTCGTCGGCGGCGGCCTCGGACCCGGCCTTGGACGGCGGCCTGTCCTCACGCCGCGACAGCACGTTGGCCTCGTACGGCTTGAAGGCGAGCTTGGAGCCGCCGTGCGACGGCGACGCGGCCGGCGGGCTGCACGCCGCGCTGGAGGCGCTGGCGGGGCTGCTGCGCTTGTTGGCGGGGCTGGGGCCCGGCCGCTCGGACGACGCCGGCCGACCCGACGACGTCGAGTGCTTCTTGGCCTTGGCCGCGTCCTGGGACAGCGGCTTGGACGGCGAGTCCGCGCCGATCTGGCTGCATGTCTGCGCCAGCAGCGCGAGCGGGCTCTTCTTGGCGTCCAACTGCAACAAGGAGAGCAAGGGCGGGTTGTAGAAACGCAGCGACGCAGCGACGCGCGTGGCGGAAACGGCGATCGATAAATCGAACGCCTTGCAAGAGTTGAGTGCCGCACTGTGCGGACGTGAGTGGGCACTGGGAACGCCTTGACGGCCCCACGGCCCCACGGGGGCGGCGCGGCAACGCACGCCGCGGCGGAAACCCGGGTTAGGCAAGGGCAAGCCGCGAACCGGTGGGCATCGGCGCACCGCGAACCGACGGGCACGCACAGGTGGCGGGTTCGGGCGCCCCCGCCGCCCGACAGGCGCACCACTCAACGACCAGTTCGTGTGCAATATCCAGCAGCGGAAACAAAGGCTGCCGGACTGCCCCGCCGGCCCCGAGTTTCCCCGAGGCGCTGCGGCCCCGGGCGACACGCAAGCCGCAGCCCACAACTCATTACAAACGAGCAGCCGACTGATTCCGAGACTCGTTCTCGTCGCTCTGTCTCTCTCGCACTCGTGGGGCGTTCCGCAGGGGTGCGAGAGAGACAGAGCGACGAAAACGGCCCTCGGAATCCGTCGGTTGCGACTTGAACGGCGAGGCGCCGCCCGGACTGCGTGGCTGCTGACGGATTCCGAGAGTCGTTTCCGTCGCCGTTGCTCTCTCGCACTCGTGGGGCGCGCCGCACGGGTGCGAGAGAGACAGAGCGACGGGAAGCCACCCTCGGAATGGGTCTGCTGCGGCGGGCTGCGTGGCCGCGGGGCCCGGGGGCGCTCCGGAGCGTCCGACCACGAAATGAAGCCCGGGCGATTCCAGGCTCCAGGCCGCATCAAGCTACTCGACTCACCGTGGTGGGCAGCGGCGAGAGGTAGTCCGGCTGCAGGTACTGGTTGGCCCCGGAGGTCAACATGCTGCTGGCGGTATCCAACACTCCCATGAGCATTCGGGAACCACTGCCGGTGCAAGGCGCAGCGCCTCGCCGGCTTCTCTTTTTCAGAAAGAAAGTCACTTCACAATCACTGGCACTGGACACTGGCGGCGGTAATCCAAGGCGGCAGCATTTAATCCAAGTGGCGGCGAGGGTAATCCAAGGAGGTAATCCAGAAAGGCACAACACTGTTCGCGGCCGGCTCTCGGCTCCACTCGGCACGATCTCGCGGCGCTGCTGGAACCTGGACGCGGCGGTACGTCCTCACACTTCGAGCGCCGCGCGTGGACTGACTGGCGGCTCGGGCTGGCGGCCGGGGCTGCTGCTGGTGGCTGGCTGCTCTGCCTGGGTGGCGCGGCCAGCGCGGCCCCCACCACCCGCTCGGCTGTCTTCGGCTCCTCGCCGCTCCGCGCCGGGCGGGCTTCGGGTCGCTCGGGTCGCGGCGGCCGTCATGCCCGAGCCCCTCCACGTCGTGTCCACAGCCACGGCACGGCGTCGGCACGCCCGGCAGCCCTCCGCGCGCTGCAGCCAGCAGCATGCAGGCGGCAGGACACGCGGTGTCAACACACCATTTCTGGAAAAGGGAAAAAGCTCGGCGTAATGCATGTGTGCACCAGGCACTGCACCTCGTGCCGCCCCGTGCCACTCCTCGATGCTATCGCCTCCTGGAAGTCCAGGAACTCCTGGAAGAGCCCCGGAAGCCCGCAGGCCGCGGCATAGATTCCTCCAGAAGTTTACAAACATCCGTCCTGGCGGCTGCTGCAGCGTGCGAGCCTCCAGGAGCTCGTCAGGCTCCCACGGGAGCCTTGCAGCTGGACCCTGTCTGGCGTTGTCCAGGACGTTCTCCAGGACGTTCTCCAGGACTTCTCCAGGAAGTCTTCCAGGACACGCGCCTCCGCAAGACACGGCCGCAAGCTGGCTGGGGGATCACTCCGAGGGTGGCGGGGCGGCCCCCTTCCCCCCGCAGTGCGGGAGCTGTCAACAGGCGGGAGGGGAAGGGAGCACGAACAGGCCCCAGGCGGTGCGTGGCGGCGCGGCGTGCGCGGCGCGGTGTGAACAGTGATTTGACGACGGACAGCCAGCGAGTTGCCATGACAACGCGGTGCGCTTACACGGATGCGACTGTGCACGGCGGCGGCGGCCGGATGTTGCGCCTCATTGCTACGCCGTGCTACGCGTCGACCCTCTCCTGTCACTCCTCTCTCTCTCTCTCTCTCTCTCTCTCTCTCTCTCTCTCTCTCTCTCTCTCTCTCTCTCTCTCTCTCTCTTTTTCTCTCCTTTTGGCGGCGAGGCGCTGACAGGCCACCGCACCGCTCATTGCCGGTGCGTGACGCGGCCTGCATAGCGATCGACACGAGGAGGAGGAGGAGAGAAGGAAGAAGGAGAAAAAGAAGGACACGAAGAAGGGCCGCCGCCGTGCAGGTGAGACGCCACGCCACGCCTCACGTGCTCCTTCGTCGCTCTGTCTCTCTCGCACCTGCACGGGACGCCCCATGAGTGCGAGAGAGACAGAGCGACGCTCCTCGGAACCAGTCTGCAGGCCCTGTCCGACGGGTTGCCTACCCCGCTGCCCATTCCTTCGTCGGCTCGTCTTCCACGGACGCAAGCGAAGCAGCTGACTGATGACGCCCAGCGCTGTCATCGCTCTGTCTCTCTCGTACTCACGGGGCGTCCCGTGCGAGAGAGACAGAGCGACGCGGACGGACTCTCCGCTGGACGGCGTATGTGCGCGCGGCGTGATCGCGATGAAGGGTTGCGCGGCTTTCTGGTGCAGTGCGGCAGGCGGGCAGCCAGGGCTGGCGGCCAGCAGGCAGGCAGGCAGGCAGGCAGGCAGGCGGCGGGGCTGACAGGTTGACTGCTACTTGTGAGCGCGCGGAGGGGGGTGGAGGGGGGCCGGGGGGCCGAGGGGGGCGCAGGACGCCGCGCCTCGCCGCCACTACCGACGCCCGAGTGGCCCTTGAGCTCGTTTGGGTGGAATAAGCTCTTTTCATTTTCTTCTTCTTTTTGCCCTGGCCGGCCGGGCAGCCCGGCAGCAGACTGATTCCGAGAGTCATCGCTCCGTCTCTCTCGCACCCGCACAGGACACCCCCGCGAGTGCGAGAGAGACAGAGCGACGACTCTGGGAATCGGTCTTACGGGCGGGCAGGCCCGGCGGCACCGGCCGACCGAGCTGAGCCACGCTGAGCCCGAGAACAGAGAGGTTAGGCGGCGGACAGCCGGCCAGCCCCAGCAGCCAGCCACCGCCTTGGCTTTTTGCTCCGCGCCGCCTCCCCGAATCGCCTTCACCCGGAGTGCAAGTGCAACCAGCCGTCCAAAAGCTCTCGCTGTCTCTTTCATTTTTCGTCCGGCTTTAATCAGTGGCTTGTGTGTGTGTGTGAGTGTGTGCGTGTTTGTGCGTGTGTGTGGCGCCGTGCCGCGCTGAGCTGGCGGCGCGGAACAGAAGGGGATGTGTCCCTGCCACCTCGCCTGTCAGAAAAATTAACACTCGAACGGGACGCCTGCTGCTGCTGCACGCCCCGGCCGTGCCCAGGCCGTGGCCAGGCACACTGTGCAGGCCGTGGCAGCGAGTGAGCGTGACCGGCCGAGCGACAGCCTGACAGGCGGACGGACGGGCGGACACGTATGGACGGACAGCGGGCTGACGCGGACTGACAGCCGGACGGACACTACACTGGCAGCCGGACCGACGAGCCGCGGACGAACAGACGGACGGACAGACAGACACGTCTTTAAATTTTGATACCTGAGTCAACTGCGACCAGGATCGCGGTGGGGCTTTCTTAGTGTCTAAGCCACGACAGTCGCGGAAAACAGTCAGACAGACAGACAGACAGACCATCGTACGGGGACGTGCACCGAAGGTGTCGGCGTCAGCAGACCGATTCCGAAAGTCGCGCTTTCGTCGCTGTGTCTCTCTCGCGCTCATGGGGCGTCCCGTGCAGGTGCGAGAGAGACACAGCGACGAAAACGACTCTCGGAATCAGTCTGCTTGCAGTCCAGGACGGGGGCGGGGGCCGGGGCAGCGCCACAACGCGCACGTCATTGCCCGTGGCGCGTCACGCCTGCCGCCACGCCGCCACGCCGCGCGCGCCCTCCCGCGGCGACGACTGACAGCTCGTGAGACGCGGTGTCAGTCGCACTGTCAGCTCACCTCGCCCGGCACGCCTGACGGCCTGACACGCGGCGGCGGCGGCAACTTCGTGCAGTCGTTGCTGCGGAGAGAGAGAGAGAGAGAGAGAGAGAGAGAGAGAGAGAGAGAGAGAGAGAGAGAGAGAGAGAGAAGAAGGGTGAGGTGGAGAGAAGCCCGCGCCTGTTATTACATGTTAATTGTGGCTGACAGACAGTCCGCCTCATCAGGACGTGTCTCTCTCGCACGCACGCGCGCGCACGCACACCCCGACGCCCCACGCGCGGTTCACGCGGCGGCCACAGCAGCCGACGACGGGCTTAATCGCTTTCCGGAAAACTAAACGATGTCAGGAAGAAGGATGAGACGCTTCATAGGCGGCGGGGCGGGGCGTGGCGGGGCGGCCGTGATGGCTGGAGGGACGTATTTCGCCCCGGGCCGGGGGGCGGGGCGGGGGCGGGGCAGGGGCGGGTCCGGGGGCGGGGCGCAGGGCTGCCAACATATATATGTAGGGCTAATGACGCCCCTTGTAAACATGGCCGGGGAATGGGGCCCGCGTCTTTTTAAAACTCCTCCCCCTAAACGGCGGCGGCGCAAGGCAGCACGCCCCGAATCCGCGCGGCGTTTCGTCGCTCTGTCTCTCTCGCACCCGTGCGGGACGCCCTGCGAGTGCGAGAGAGACAGAGCGACGAAATCGCCGTTCGGAATCAGCCTGGCGAGCACGGCGCAGCGGAAAGTGGAAGTTGCGGCCAATCTTTGCTTTGCACTCGGCAATCCGGCGTGCCGGCCGGCACACTGATTCGTCGCTCCGTCTCTCTCGCACCCACACGGGGCGCCCCACGGGTGCGAGAGAGACAGAGCGGCGAAAAGCGACTCTCAGTTGCTCTCAGTGTGCAGGGTCGGGGCCAGAGCCACCACCTTGTAATTTGGCCATCACATCAGCAGGCCGAAGGAAGGCGGCCGAGGCAGCGAAGGCTGAGGTGCAGAAATTACTTAGATTACCGCGTAACTCCGTAACGCCGCCGAACCGCCTGGCCGGGCCCCGCACCGCCCTCGGCGACGCTCTGTCATCAGGGCACGGCGGCGGACGGCGTC